TCGTCGTTCCTTTTCCCCGTTTCCCTGCAGCGTCGTCGCTTCTGTCCCTTCCCTACAGCCTTCTCCTCCACTGCGCCCCTCGCTTTCTCTCCTGTCCTAAAACCTTCTCCTGAAGCGTGTCGGTACAAATCGAAACGGAACAACGTCGCCTCTGAGTCAAAGGGAAGCCCCTTCCCTTTCTTCCCTTCCCCGCCAGGGGGGGGAGGGTCCCAGAGGGGGTAGCGGGGGGGGGGGGGTCCTGGGTCAGATACGCCGCCCTCCCGGCGTCGCTTATGTCCCTTCCCTACAGCCTTCTTCTCCACTGCGCCCGTCGCTTTCTCTCCTGTCCTACAACCTTTTTCCTGAAGCGTGTCGGTACAAACCGAAACGGACCAACGTCGCCTCTGAGTCAAAGGGAAGCCCCTTCCCTTTCTTCCCTTCCCCGCCAGCACCAGACCTGAAGAGTCCCACGCCATAACCGTGAAAACATCCGCCCACCCGTGACCAATCCAGGTCCTGGGAAGCGTGTGATTTTTGTGCAGCTCACCTGCCCTTTTGAATGCTCCATATTCAATGCTTGTTGCATCCCCCCCCCCGTCTTGTCGCAACCCTCGTTCACTTCCCCGGCTTTCGAGACCCCTAACTATTGAGCCGTGTAGAAACGCCCTGCGACCCATCTGATGCCGTCTCAAACCCCTCTCAGACATCTTTCCCTGCTCCTCCTCCATCGTTTTCGTCGTCCACGCCTGCTCCTCCATCCTCTTCCTCCTCCTCCTCCTCCCCCTTCTCTCCCTTTTCCATTTCTCCTCCTCCTCCTCTTCCTCCTCCTCTTCCTCCTCCCCCCCTCTCTCCCCCTTTGCCGTCGAGAGCCGATGCATCCAGGGTCGGCGGCACAGGCCGTAAGGCCCGCGCAATAAATACACACAAACAAACATATTCCCCTATACTTTCCCATATTTTCTGGGTTCCTGCCTTCCCCCCCACTTCCCATATTTTCCCATATTTTCTGGGGAATCGCCGATTAATTGTGTCTGTATGTTTCTTCCCCTCCTGAACCTCCTCCTCCTGCCACTCTGGCGGCCTCCAGGATGGGGTCCGAACAGATGGGGTCGAAGGATCTCGCCCCACCGCCAATGCATCGCCGATGTATCAGCGACGCATCGGTTGCATTGGCGACGTTGGCGACGCATCGGCGCCGTCGGCGTGGAGAACATCGGGGTCCACATCGAGCCGCATCGCCGATGCATCGGCGATGCGGCGCGATCCTCCGACCCCGTCTGCTCCGACCCCATCCAGGAAGCCTGGAGGGAGGGTCGGAGGTTCCGTGGCACTTGACTCCCCGAGCCACACCCTGCCGCCCTCCCAATGGCGAAGCCAAAAGGTACCCATACCGCTACCCCGCGGGCCTCTCCCGGGGTGCGTCCCGACCAGGATTTCGAGGCGAATCCAGCGGTGGCGACGAGGGCCTCCCAGGAGGCCCAAAAAGGGGAAGACGGGCGAGGGGGTAGAGGTACGGCAAATTCTCGTCGTGTCGACCCCGGCATTGGTCTCTGACACCGCCGGGATCGTTCAAACTTGAACGATCGGCCGTTCCGTGAACGCCGGATCGTTCAACGACGGGCCGATTCTGGGCCACGGGCGGCGTTCAACCTTAACCGCACGCGGTGGGGTCGCCGCCGGTCGATACGACACGAACCTACCGTATGAGTACCTTTTCCTTCTCTGATTCCCTTTCCTTCTTTGATTGACACACCATGCCGCCCTCCCAAGCTAGGGAGCGTCCAAGAGGGGGACGTCCAAGAGGAGGGGGGCGCGAAAATCATGGCCAGCGGCATGTGCGCGGCCGGGGACGTATGAAGATAAGAAGAGGCGACATGAAATCAGGATGGATATCGTGGCCCCCCTAATGGTTCCCCCTGGTCATCGCCCTCCTCCTGGCCGCCCCCGACAGGCCCAGAGCCCCCAGCCATCTCCGAGACGCGCCCGCACGAGCGCGGCAGCAAAAACCCGCGCGGCAGCGCAGCCAGAGGACGGCACCGCGAGACGACCAGGCACGTCAACGGACCTCTCGGGCACAGGGGAGAGATCCAACCAGGGCGCGTGCCTGCAGACTGGGAGTATGAGCTCCATTCGGCAAGATTCCAACCTGTCGTCGTCGTCGTCCTCCTCCTCCTCCTACTCGCCATGCTTCTGTCTATGGGTTCGGGCAGCACGGCCTTCGTCGTCTTGCCGTCGACCTCGCACATGCCGCGCTGAGACGGGTTGTCCACCTCGTCGGGAGCCAGGAGGACGCTCGAGGAGGTATCACAGCCTGCTCCTCCTGCTCCTCCCCCTCCTCCTACTCTCTTCTCCGCCTTTCTCGTTCATCAGCGGCATGGAAAACTCACTCCCGTGGCCACTCAGGCTGTTGAGGCCAGGACCGCCGAAACGGTTTGCGCACAGGATGGCCTGCAAGGCGGGGGGGGGGGGGGCGGAAGAAGAGGGGAGACGGTGAGGAAGAGTAGGAGAGCTCGCAACGGTCTCCTTGTCGGCAAGCTGCCGAGGATCGGGTCTCGACCAACTCCCGAATCGCAACCGCGCGCGCTCACACGACCAACACTTCCCTGCCCGCTCCAGAGTTTCGGCTCGTGCTGCCCATCGTCACAAAAACATGTCTCCTCCCCGTCCCAGCGTGACTTGCCCCACCCCTCTCACGGAGAGGCGGCCGCCTCGCGCCTCTGGTAATACAGCAGCAGCGAGCCGCCCTTCGAGGCGCGGAAGTCCAGGATGCGCCCCAGGTCGAAATCCTGGGAGAGAAGCGTGCCAGTGCTCCGCCGCAGCGAAGCGCGAAGCAACGAGAGAGAGAGAGAGAGATAGGAAGACGGAACACACGAACAGCTGCAGGCTGCCGAGGGGATCGGGGAGGATGGAACGAGCGCGCAGATGGCATCCCCCTGCCCCCCCCCCCTCTCTCCTCCCCTCCCGCCCTTGCCCCGCTCCTCCTCCGCCTCCCTCCGATCCTCTCCCAGCTCCTCGCCCCTCCCCCTCCCCCGCCCCTCCTCGCCCCTCCCCTCCCCTCCTGCCTCCCACCCCCTTGATCCGCTGTTGTGGCATCAGTGTCGCGTGCATCGCTTTAGCAGGCATCTGGCGGCGCTGGGGCGTGGAGCACCGCGCAACATCGCACGATCTGCGGCGCCAGCACGCCCGTGTCATTAAGGTTCGTGGCCAACGGCGCTGGGCGTCGGCCAGCGGTCGTGGGCGCACCACGCAAAGGGGATGCACCCATCTATACACTTTATACATCTATATCTACATATATATATATATATATATATAAATATATGTATGCACACATCGATGTATGCAGAACGCTTTGTGTCCGCATCCAGGTGACAGGTGGAAGATGACAGTCCCCACCCCTCGCCTCCCCCTCCCCTTTCGCCAGGCTCGGCATGTGGCCGCGTCTGCCGCTTCACGGCGCAGGAGGGAAGTTCTGCAAGCTTCGGACGTGGACCGAGGCACAAGTTGCGACATGTAACGGTGATTGCAGCGCGACGGGGCCAGAGAGCTAGGCGAAAGGATGGAGGAGGTGAATGAGGAAGACTAGGGGGAAGGGAACCAAAGAGGGAGGCAGCAAGGATGACGACTAAGAGGAGGAGGAGGAGGAGGAGGAGGAGGAGGAGGAGGGAGGAGGAGGAGGAGGAGGGAGGAGGAGGAGAGGAGAGGAGAGGAGAGGAGAGGAGAGGAGAGGAGAGGAAAGGAACGACGAGAAGAGTAAAAAGAGAACAGAAGTGAAGGAGGAGAAGGAGGCCGACGATGACGACGACGCTGAGGGGACGAGCCCCGCCCTCGAGGGAGCCTCCCAGCGAGGATCCGTCCGAGGCTTCTCCGTCGCCGTCGCCTCCTCCTCCTCCGTCTCCTCCTCCTCCTCCTCCTCCTCCTCCTCCTCCTCCTCCTCCGTCTCCTCCTCCTCCTCCGTCTCCTCCTCCTCCGCCTCCGCCTCCGCCTCCGTCTCCGTCTACGTCTCTTCCTCCTCCTGCTCCCCCTCCGCTGCCTCATCCAACTATTGGTCGGAGAACTGGAATGGACCGGTGCTTCCAGTCTGCGATGCTGCTACTGGCCGAGACCCTGACCCACGGCGCCAAGAATCGAATACACTTGCTGGTCGCTTCAGATGCTGTACCGCGGGGGGTGTCCTACAGCTTCTTGGGGTTTTCAAGGCCATCATCATCACCACCATCACCACCAACACCATCACCATCACCATCATGATTATGATTATTATCATCAGCATCCTCATCATCAAAATCATCATCATCATCAGCATCAGCAACATCAACATCGTCGTCATCATCACCATGACCATCACCATCACCGCCACCATCACCACCATCAGCATCATCATTATCATCAGCATCATCATCGTCATAGTAACCCGCCTCCTGATCGGAATTATCTGCACCACGATCATCACCGTCGTCGTCATCGTAATCATCGTCATCATCATTATCATCAGCATCACCATCAGTATCATCACATCTTTACCATGACAACGCCAATCATCGTCATCGGCATCGCCCTGAGCAGAAACATCGTTGTCGTCATCAACATCATCATTAGCATCAGGATCACCATCAGCGTCATCGACATCGCCATCATCATCATAGCATGTATCATCACCATCACCATCACCAACACGATCACAATCATCAGGGCCATCATCATCACCACCATCATCACAACCATTATCATCACCCTCGTCGTCACCACGATCAACATCATCATCACCCTCGACGTCGTCGTCATCATCATCATCATCATCATCATCATCATCATCATCATCATCATAACGACCACCAGCATCATCATCGTCATCATCATTGTCATCGTCATCCTCATTACCATCATCCTCAAAACCACCGTCATCATCATCAACATCATTATAGTCGTCAGCATCATCATCATCATCATTACCACAACCACCGCCATCATCACCACCAACATATTATGGTGAGGATGACGGTGACGAAGATGATGATGTTGTTGATGATGATGGTGATGGTCATGATAATGATGGTGCTGATGATGATGATCCCGATGGCAATGATGATGCTGATGATGATGATGACGGTGGTGGTTGTGGTGATGGCGATGGTGATGAGGATGACGATGATGATGATGATGATGATGGAACTGATGCTGATGATGACTGGTGACGATGACGACGACGAGGTTGATGATGATGATGCTGTTGATAATGATGTTGATGACGGCAGCAATGCTGCAGATGATGGTGGTGATGATGACGGTGAGGATGACGATGATGATGATGATGATGACGACAACAATGATAATGATAAGGGTGCTGATGGTGGTGAGGATTCTGCTGATGATGATGATGATGATGATGGTCATCATCATCATCGTCATCCAACCTCGTAATCCTCACCACCATCACCATCCCCACCATCATCATTGCCGTCATCGTCATCATCGTCAGCCTGTCCAAACTCATCATCGTCATGGACGTTATCATCATCTTCAGCGTCATCCTCACCACTATCACCGCATCACCATACTCATCAGCATTGTCATCGTCAGCATCAGCATCATCATCATCATGAGCACCACTACCACCATCATCATCAGCAACACCATCATCTCCCTCAACATTATCATCATTATCGTCATCAACATCATCACCACTGTCACCATGCCAATCTTTATCGCCATCATCATCATCCTCCCCACCACCGTCAACATCACCATAACCATCGTCATCACGATCGCCATCAAGATCGTCAGCATCGTCACCACCATTCAAACTTGTCATGATCACCATCACCACCATCAGCATCAGCATCTCTATCACCATCACCATCACGATCATCCTCATCCTCACCGCCAGAGCCATCGCCATTCCCATCCTCGTACTCATTCTTATCCGCATGGTCCTGACGAGCTGATGGCACCAATAAGTCCACGGACACGGCCAGTGTCCTCCTCCTCCTCCTCCTCCTCTTCATCATCATCATCATCATCATCATTCTCATCCCCATCCCCATCATCATCCTCATCATCCCCCTTCTCTTCCTCCTCCTCCATCATCCTCATCCCCACCATTACAACAAGCACGATCCATCACCGTCATCAATACAATCAGCATCATCACCATAAGCATCAGCATCAGCATCAGCATCATCATCATCATCACCATTGTCATCATTATCATCATGAGCATCAACATTATTATCACCACCGTTATCATCGTCATCATTATCATCACCATCGTCATCGCCATCGTCATCATCATCATCAGCATCGTCATCGTCATCGTCATCATATTCATCTTCATCAACATCAACATCATCATCATCATCATCATCATCATCATCATCACCATCATCATCATCATCATAAGCAACAACAACAACAGCATCGCAACAGCAACAACAACAACAACAACAGCAGTAGCGGAAACACCAACATCGCTCTCGGAACCCCAGACCCCGCCTTTCTGCTGCATCTCTCGAGCCGGATAAATCTCGGACCTGGCGAACACGCCCCGCGTGAAGAACACCTCCAGGGCTGGTCGTCCCCCCCCCCCAAGGGGGGCCTTGAAGAAGAGCGTGTCGCCCGCGAACACGATCACCTGGGGACGGGGCGGCACGAGGCGCGGGCGGCGGGAGTTTTTTTTTCTGATGTTGTTCGCCATGAGCAGGAAGTCGCGAGGGAGGTGGGGGAAGGGGAGGGAAGGGGAGGGAAAGAGGGGGCGGGAGGGGGGGGGAGAGGGAGAGGGGGGGAGGGAGAGAGGGGGAGGAGGGCAATCTAGGTGAGCTCGCGTCATACTTGACATCCTACCCCTCCCTCCCATCTTTAACCATGGCGTAGATCCCCTCTCTACTCGCACAGTCGGATGTCGAGCAGGGCAATGATCCCGAAAGGGTACGCGATGCATTGTAGAGCACGGAATGGCATGGCGTAGAAGAGCACCGCAAAGCGTAGTATGTCTTTTTTTTTTCGCGCTCCTCGGGCCATTCGCACGCGGCTCTGGCCAGTCACCCTCCAGGTGGGGTGGCCTGACGGTGCCTGGGCGTGCCGAGTGGCGGGGACCCAGGGCAGAGACCGCCAGGCGGGTGGCCCCTCGTAGCTAGCAGCTAGGCCGAGAGGACAGGTGTCAGGTGACGAGGGAGCGGGCGCCCTTGCCCCTCGCCTTGCCCTCGTACTTGCCCTTGTCCTTGCCCATGCCCATGGAGGTGCGCACGTCGCCGTCCGTCCTACCCTCGGTGGCATTCTCGTGGGCCATGTTGAGGCGCGTGGCAGACCAGCCGTACTCCGAGGTCTTGAGCACGCAGTGGGAGTCTGCCATGCGTGAAAAGAGGCTGTCGGCTGCAGCCGACCCGTCGTACTCCGAGGTCTTGAGCACAACCTTGTCGCCCAGCACATCGTTGATGGACGACGTACGTGGCTGGATGTCTAGCTCCTTCTGCTTGCCGTCGATCTCGTGAGAGTCGTCGGTGATGCTCGCGGCCGTGGAGGCCGCCTTGATGTCCGTCTCGATCTTCTCGGTGAGGCCTACCGCGAAGAAGTGCTTGTCAAGCAGCTTCTCCTCCTGCAGGGAGGCGGGCTTGTAGGCCGCATTGCAGGTCTCCTCCGTGGCCGTCCTCAGCTCCTTCTGCTTGCCCTCGAACTCGTGAGAGCCGTCGGCGAGGTTCACGGCCGTGGCGGCCGTGTTGATGTCCGTCGCGATCTTCTCCGTGAGGCCAACCGCGAGGAAGTGCTGGTCCAGCAGCTTCTCCTCCAGCGGCGGGGCCGAGTCGACCTTGTCGCCCAGCTTCGCGTCCATCATCTCGTTGGACTCCAGCTTCGCAGCCGCGGCGCGGGTGGCAACCACACCTTGTGGCCGACGAATACCACCGCGTCCATGCTGCACGCGCTTCTTGGCCTCCGCGGCGGTCGTGGGGAGCTCCGCCGCGCCGCACCCGAAGTCGGCGTGCGACGAGTGGTTGCGCAGTGTGCGCCTGCCACCCGTGATGACCGCCTCGACGCCGGCCTTGCCAGCCCGCGTGCGCTCCCGCAGCACGGGCGCGATGCGGCCGAGCCTGGCGGCCACCTCCTCCTCGACATCGGGGTCGCCTCCACCGCCACCGGGAGCCGCGGCAGCGCGGACGACCGCCGCCACGAGCAGCTTGGCCCGCCCGTTGGAGCACGGCGCGCAGGTGATGGCCTGCACGGCCGCACTCACCACCGCGCTTAGCGCGGTGCCAGCGCCAGGAGCGCCGCCCGTAGCCACCACCTTGGCGCCGTCCCCCACCGACATCGCGGCAGCCGCGGCGAAGGGGATGGAGACTGAGCCGCTCTCGAGCGCAGCAGCAGGAGAGCGAGGAAAAGGCGAGCACCTAGCCCGCCTGGCGCCCAAGGCAGGCTTGAGCCAAAATGGCTACGGAAAGGCGTAGTATGTCACAGCATGGCGTGGCGTGGCGTAGGGAATAATTGCATCACGAAGCGTTGCAACGCAAAGCAAGGCATCGCACAGCGGCCCCGAACATAACATTGCATAGCATGGCGTTGAAGATCAAAGCGTAGCATGGCATAGCACGACGTGGCACTTAAGCACTGCATATCACAGCTTCAGCTGAAAGCATGACATCGCGCAGCGGAACGCAACCTAGCATTGCATTGCATGCCGTGGCATGGCACGGGAAATAACGCCAGCGCTGCAGCGGGAACACGATTCGGAACGAGCGGAAGCGCGGAAATGAGGCCAGCGCTTCAGCGGGAAGCACGATTCGGAACGAGCGGAAGCACGGAAATGAGGCCAGCGCTGCAGCGGGAGCACGACTCGGAACGAGCGGAAGCACGGAAATGAGGCCAGCGCTGCAGCGGGAGCACGATTCGGAACGAGCGGGGCCCGAAAATGAGGCTGGCGCCTCAGCGAGAGCAGCATTTTGAAAAAAATGCAAGTGAAAACCCAACTCCGGGGAATCCTTTGTGTAAAAAAACAATACGCGGGGTGGCGAACACTCCCAACCCGTCATCAGGGGCAGGAGGAGAGTAGTACTCATATTGAGTAGTTGTAGAGAGGGGGAGGGGGGGAGGAAGAGGGACGGGGGGCAGGGGGGAGAGGATCGGAGAAACCAAAAGGTACACATACCGCTTCTCCCCGGACCTCCCCCAGGGTGCGTTCTGACGAGAATTTCGAGGCGCATCTAGCGGTGGCGACGAGGGCCTCCCAAGAGGCCCGAAAAGGAGAAAACGAGGGAAGGGCAGCGGTATGGGCAAGTTTTACTCCTCTGAAGGAGGGGGGGGCGGGGGGAAGAGTTCGAGTAGGGGATTGATTACAGAACTGACTTGCCCCAAAATTCATGTGTCCGTCGAGTCTACGGAAAATGCGCAGAGCGCTCCTCAGATTTTCGGGGCGCTCTGCGTATTTTTCATATAGTCGACGGAAGCACAATTCTGGGGCAAGTGAATGTTGTAGTCAATCCCCATACCCGGAAAAAATGGGCAGAATAATATCGGGGATACGTGAAACATGGATTATGGGGACCGGCTTGGCCTGACGGGGCCATCATGAAAATGACGCGACCCTATCTGAAATCTGGTTGCGAGCTCCCGCTGCAAGCATCCCACGGAAGCTGCACCGTCAAAATACAGGGCGGGCTCGTCAAAAAAATAAATCCAACCCCTGGGTAATACAACACCCCACTTATAGTCTCAGGCGAAACGCAAAGTGTCGAAGACTTGCCGAAGTCGCTACTAATATCTCAAACAAAACGCTGGTTTGTGCAAAAATCACTGTCGCGGACATGTCCGCCGACCCCTTGTGGGTCCCTACGCGTGTGAAACTGTTCCCCCCAATAAGCCCCCCCCTCGGGACCCCAAACCGGCAATTCGACCCCCCCTCCTCGCCTCAGACGACCCACCGCCGAACGCGCCATGGGAGAACAGAGGGCCCCCAAACGAGCCAAAAGGGCACCAAAACGCTTCCCGGACCGTCCGAGACGGCGACGAGTCGCCAAAATATCGTTCCAAGACGCCACGATGGCTCCCAGACAACCCCCGAAACCCCAAGACGACCCAAAAGGCCAACAAAAGGCGTTCCAAGCGAACCCCAAAAAACAGAAATCGTCCCATTCCTCTTCGTAAAACGTTAATGTGTACCACATTGGCCCCTTGCGGTTTCGCTACGTCCGACACGGGCCTGAAACCTTTTCCGTGTCCTCCCAGGACGGGCGTCGACCGAGTGCCGAGAGAAGGTCGAAGAGGGCCCAAAGACAACCCAAGAAGCGCCCAAGACGGCCCAAGAGGGCCCCCAGATGGCTCCAAGAGGATGCCTGGAGGGCAACTTATTGGCCCTTTGGTTCCGACATTCCCTCATCCTGCTGCAAGAGGGCCCCAGGGAGCCCCAAGCGAGGCCCAAAAGGTTTTCAACAGGCTTCCAGACAACCCCTAAGAGGCCCATGCGCTACCTCCAAGACGCCCTTGTGACGCCTCAAGACCAGATCGTGACTTCCCCTCCTCCTCTTTGACTCCCCTTCCGCCTCTGCCCCATCTTTCCCCTGCTCCTCCTCCTCCTCCGCTTTCACCTTCTCTGCGTTCCTCATTTCATCGGCTTCGTCCTCCCTCTCGCTCGCACCCCCGCTACTCCTAATTTTTGCGGGCCTTGGCACGGGCGCCCCGCTGATATCAATTGCGCCCTGCGCTTTAAGGTGCCCTTCTTCTGTTCGCGCGCGACATGGCTCGCGCCCACGGAAAAAACGACTTCCGTAATTTCCTCGGGCACTTGCCACTGCACTGAAAGGCGTGCGAACTGCGCGACGTCAACCCGTCGGCAATGCAATCAGCGCATGCAACTTTACTCTTTCTCGCGCACTCTCCTGTTTGGCGCTCATGTGCACCTGCCGAACGAACTGTCTCGCACGCGCTGTGCACATCAGCAGTCGCTTCAACCGCTTCGACTCATCGGCCACACCCTTCGCGGTGCTGCCCCGCATATGACAACTTTCGCACATCACTCTTGCTCCTTTCTTCGCCCAGTAGCCCTCCATTTGGTTGCTGTTCAAATGGCCGACCCCCCAGAAGGACACCCCGCAACTGGGCGCGCCGCGCGTCAGCGGTCCCGCTTCCGCCTCCGCTTTCCGTTTGCGAGTCCCTGCTTCGTAATTTGCCCACGGCGCCGCCTTCTCCCGCTTCCCCGCGCACTTCCGACGCAACCTTTCCCCCGCTGCGTCGTGCCTCATCTGAGCTTCCGACATATCCGCCTGTCCGTCGCACAGCGACAGGCACTTGACGTTCGAACATCGCACTGTGCCGACGCTCTCCTTCCACTTCGCGCTGCCGCTCCGCGACTCCTGCACTTCGCGCAGCACGTTGTCCAAATCCTTTTTGCCCGCCCCCCTCTTTGGCCGCTGCGCGCCCGCTCCGACCGCTGACGCGTCGCGTCGCGCCGTTTTCCCCCGCTTTGGTTGCCCGCCTTCTGCTCTTTGTGCGCGATTTCTCCTCCGTGTTTTTCATCTTCCCCGCGCATTCTTCGCGCGGCGCCGGCCTCTCCCCCCCCCCTGGAACTCGCACTTCGCGAACGCCTCCGCCAGCTACCTCCGCCGGCCGCGCACGCACTGGTCTCGGGGCATTAGTTCCGCCCCCCTTTCGTCCCAACCCACGCCCTCCCCTCGCAGCACCTGCAGCGGCTTTGTCGCGCCAGCCATCTCCCGTTCGCCAGCCGGAAAATCAAAAGATTCTCTCGCCTGCGCGCGCGTGATAGTAACGTAACTCGACATCCAACTCCCGCCGCGCCCTCTCTTAAGATCCACTATTACTGCCCCCGCGGTCTGACCCTGTGCTGGGCGCGCCGTCACTGCCAAGGACGAGGTGCGTTTCGCACCCAATACTGGATGCTTCCGATGCCCGTCCAAGAGCCATTGCCGCCCTTTCGATGGGGCGATCGGATACAGACCTGGCCCCCAGCCTGGCAGGTGCCACCCCTTCGCGCGCAAGTCCAACGCAATCAATTTCGGTAGATGCACCAGACTTCCTCGTCTTCATCTCCAAGGACCTCGTCCTCGTGCAACGCCCATCTATGGATCGTCGGTGTGCGCCCCCTCAACAAGTGCTTCCTCGACCAGTCCAAATGATCTGCCAAAGCCACCGGCGTCCCCTTCGCCAGAAGCAAACACCCCAGTAAGCTTGCGCACCCCTTGTCGTGGTACCCCAGCCGCCGTAATTTATCCTCCGCCTCTGTTCCCCGCCATGGCTCGGGCGATCTCTGGCTGCGACCCAGAGCAGCTGTTCCCCTCGCTTTTTTGCCCACTGTACCGCTCTCTGCTTCCCGACGTGGCAATGGATGTCCTGGTTCGCATATATGGTGACGGCGTCGACAAATTCATCCTCGTGAAACCGCGCGTCTTCCGGCGACGCCGCGACGAGCTGTCTACTCTCTCGCTCAACTCTGCAATCTTCACACTCTCGCCCGTTTTGTTTCGAAATTGCATCTGCGTCTCGTAGACAACGCGCGTTCCCGCACCACGGTGCACCGTTCACCCGCGACCCCTCTGGGAAGTCGCCAGCAGAACACGGAAATCAAAATCCAGGCGCGACGACGGCCATCGAGGGGGGTGCATTGGCTAGAGGGACATAAAGATTCGCGCTGCGTCTCGCAAGTGCGTGGACGACAACGACGACGAGCGACGACGAGAGACGACGACGACGACGACTACGACGACAATGACGACAACGACTACGACGACGACCGACAACGAAGAGCGACGAGTTGTGGCGAGCACGTGCCTGCGAAGGCGTCGTTGCCCCCGCGTGGCGTACAAGAGATATGCTCTTTACCTCCCTCCTGCATCGTCGTCGTCGTCCTTTTCCTCCTGTTGCTCTCATTCTCTCACTCTCTCTCTCTCTCCCCTACAAACACCACAAGCGCATGAGAGCACCACAACTGGCCCGTGACAATCGCCCCTTATGCGGATCTCTATGCGGATCCATATAGGGATCCCTCTGGGGATCCCTATGCGCATCCCTATGTGGATCCCCATGCGCATGCCTATGCGGATCCCGATGGATATCTCTATGCGATGCCCATGCGGATCGCCATGCGGATTTTTGTACGGATGCCGATGCGGATCCCTATTCGGGTTCCTACGCGGATCCCTATGCGCACGGCGGCAATGCCGCGGGCGCACTGGGGGCCAGACCGTTACGTTTTGGGGGGGGGGGGGGGGCGGGGGGGCCACAACGCGCGTTTTGGCACAAACAAAAAACGCTCTTGCAAGGACAGGGCCAGGAACCGAGAGTGGACACGAACGGCAAATTCAAAGATGGAAGGGGGTGGTTTTGAGAATGTGTCCCGCTTCTTGCTTGCAACCGTTTCACGGGCTCAGGCGGGTCGTCTGTAACATAGAGCCATCACCAAAGCGCCACGCACATTCATCTTCAGATTTCGAGGGTTGAGCGTGTTCGTCTTCAAAATGTGGCTCTCGTCTCAGCGCCGCGCGCATTCATTTTGAACAGTTGCATCTGCTGCAGACTGGGAGGACGATTCTGAACAGTCTGCAGCGTTTTGTAAATTTTGTTTTTCGTTGTTCCTCTTCAATGTGAGGCTTTCGCTTGAAACTTCTTCAAATCCGCCGATCCGGCGTGAGTTTAAAAGAGCTTGGGCTTCAGTTCAGCTCTAGAGGGTGCCCCGGTGGCTCTGCCAAGGGAGAAGAAAGGGAGGGGGGGCGTTTACAAAAGTCCACTCCCCCCCAGCCAGGGCCCGGCACCGGGGCTGAGGCCTAGGAGGGTCGGGGCCGGGGCGAAGGCCCGGACCAGGGCCAGGGGCCTTGGCCAGGTCTGGGGCCAGCGCGGGGCAGGTGCTGGGGCCCGCAGGGGGGGGGCGTGGCCAGGGCCGGGGCAGGAGCTGGGGCCCGCGGCTGTGGTCGGGGCTCGTGGCTGGGGGGCCCAGGGCCTTGGCTGGGCCTGAGGCCACGGTCGGGGCCAGGGCTGGGGCCGGGGCAACTGGGCAGGGCCTGGGCCTGGGGCCAGGGCCCGGGCCCAGGGTCTTGGCCGGACCCTGGGCGGAGGCCAGAGCCGGGGCCGAGGCCGGGGCTGTCGCATTGGGGCGGGACCGGAGGCAGAGCTGGGGGCCAGGACGGGGGGGCCCAGGCTGGGGGCGGCCGAAGCCTGGGCCGGGGCCAGGGCAGGGCTGGGTGCTGGGGCTGGGGCCGGGGCTGGGGCTGGGGCTGGGGCCCGGAGCCTCGGCTGGGAATGTTCAAGCCTAACCCACCAACGAGCGAACCCGCCAACAAGCTCGACAGACGGACAGGACGCATGCATTCCATTCCACCCATAATGCCTAAGGCAACTGCCAACACCCTCGTTCCCTTCCTCCTCTCCTCCTCCTCCTCCGCCTCCTCCTCCTCCTCCTCCTCCGCCTCCTCCTCCTCCTCCTCCTCCTCCTGCTCCTCCTCCTCCTACTCCTCCTCCTGCTCCTCCTCCTCCTCCTCTCCCCTTTGCTCCTCCTCCTCCACCTCGTCCACCTCCCCCTTCTCCTCCTCATCCTCCGCCTCCTCCTCGTCCTCTTCCTCTGTGTTCTCCTCCTCCTGTAACCTCCTTCCTCCCTCCTTCCTCCTTCCTCCTTCCTTCTCCTACTTCCTCCTTTCGTCTTTCCTCCTTCCTCCTCCTCCTCCTCTTCCTCCTCCTCCTTCCTGCTTCCCCCTCGTCCCTCCTCCCTCCTCCTCCTCCTCCTCCTCCTCCTCCCTCCTCCCTCCTCCCTCCTCCCTCCCTCCCTCCTCCCCTCCTCCTCCTCCTCCCTCCTCCTCCTCCTCCCTCCTCCCCCTCCTCCCTCCTCCCTCCTCTCCTCCTCCTCCTCCTCCTCCTCCTCCCTCCTCCTCCTCCTCCTCCTGAGCCTCCTCCTCCTCCTCCCCCTCCTGAGCCTCCTCCTCCTCCTCCTCCTTCTCCTCCTCCTCCTCCTCCTCCTCCTCCTCCTCCTCCCTCCTCCTCCCTCCCTCCCTCCCTCCCCCCTCCCCTCCCTCCCTCCCTCCCTCCCTCCTCCCTCCTCTCCTCCCTCCTCCTCCTCCCCCATACCTCCTCCTCCTCCTCCCTCCTCCTCCCTCCCTCCTCTCCTCCTCCTCCTCCTCCTCTCCTCCTCCTCCTCCTCCTCCTCGTCACCTCCTCCTCCTCCTCCTCCTCCTCCTCCTCCTCCTCCTCCTCCTCCTCCTCACTCCTCCACCTCCCTCACCCTCACTCCTCCACCTCCCTCACTCTCCTTCCTGCCTCCTCGAAGTAAAGTTCACAGAGTGTTGAGCAGGTCGAACTCGCACGGAAGGCCCCGAAACGTCCCGGAGCGGCGGCCCAGGCCAGAGGCCTCTACAATACAGAAACTCGCGTCCGCGCAGCAATTGCACGAATGCAGGGCAGTTCCTTTTTCACGAGTGGGCGCTCGCAGAAAACATATGTCAGTGTAGCGACCAGAATCTTGAGTATGCCCAGCCACTGCACGGATGGAGGGCGGTTCCTTTACAATCTGCTCTGCTTCGCCTGGGAAGCTCCACGACGCTCGGTGCTGGAAGCGAACGCATAGGTGCAACGCATGCACTGGCGGAGTGGTGCTTTTCCCACACCGGATGATTATGAAGGGGCCCTGGGACACACAGATAAACACACACAAATAACTGGACTCCCCATATTTTCCCATATTTTCTGGGTTTTTGTCTTCCCCCCCACTTCCCATATCTTCCCACATTTCCTGGGGAGTCGACGATGAATTGTGCCTCTGTGTTTTTCCCCTCCTGAGATTTGAGCTGCACGACCATGCGATGCCGCGGTCCGCACAGCGCTGGCAGAATGCACGCCGATTCGCGCCCTGTCAACACGGGGCCCTCGCCGGAACGGCAGGCCCATAGCTTGCGCGCAGTTCGAAAGGGGGTGCCTCGTGAGGTGGAGAGAAAGGGCTTGCAGGGGACTCACAGGGAAAGCCCACGCCAAGAGACGCCCTGCTTGCCTCCAAGGTGCCCTGGGTTTCTTGGGATTCGATGGTTCTACGATGGAGGACGTGAGACGTCCTCATACAACACATCACTGGACATCCTGGGATCTCAGGGTTGGGTTTCTCGTGGAAGATTTCTTGCAGTCGAGCTCCTACTGCATGGGGAGGGCTTCTTTTGAGGGAGAAGATGGGGGCGGACCGCATGCTTCAGCAGCCAGCGTTGTCCAAATTCGAGTGCAGCAGCACGCCCGAAGCTAAGTCGAAACATGTACGGATGAGGCCACGCAAGGAGGTCACAGACAGAGCGGTTGCCTTTGAACATTGATCTCTTCATCGCCCGGCGCGTGGGGCAGACGCTCCCAACGCCGAGGGGGACAAGGACGAGGACGAGCAGGAGGAGGAAGAGGAGGAGAAAGGGACTTACGAAGGAGACTTCACCCCGCCGCAAGCACCCACCGATTTCGGACCCTGCTACGATACAGTACTGGATCCGCTTCCCCGCACGGAGGCTATAACAACACCCAGCGAAACGCAACACAAAGCGAAACAAAGTTAACATCCAGCGAAACGCTTTCACACCCAGCGGAACGCTTTGAGACCCAGCGAAACGCCTCAACACCACGAGAAACGCGGAGACTTATGGGGGGGACTTATGAGGAGGCACTTATGAAGAGGGCGCAGTGCAACACAATTGGTGCCTCCTGGGGCTGCTCTGCCCCTCCTCCTCCTCCTCCTCCTCCTCCTCACCTGCCCATACCTATTCCTAACTTCTCGGGGAAGTCCAGAGCGGTTCCCGCAAATTCTCCCAGAGCGTTTCGGGCCGCGGCGCCGAGCTCCTGTCTGCTGGCAGTGAGGGCAAGCTTGTGGGAGGTTCGACCCTCCGTTCGCCCCTTCCCTCGAGATGTGGCTCTTGGGCTCGGACGGGCCCAAGGTGACCCACTTCTTCGTGCCCTATCATGCCTGTTGTGAACAACGCCTTGTGCCAACTATGATTATGGGAAGAGGGGTTGGGGGGATCGGAGTCGGGTGGTCCACTTTGTTGTCCTTCTACGGCTTCTTCTTCTCCTCCTCCTCCTCCTCCTCCTCCTCCTCCTCCATCTCCTCACCCCCACAATTCTCGCCTCCCGGCCCCTTCCTGGGGCGCGATCCGACCAAGACTTCAGAGCGCGAAGCCGCCGCGGCGACGAGGGGTAATTAGGGGGCCCAAGCGAGGTCCTAAGGGAAGCGCCCAGAAGCCTCGCGAGAACCCGAACCTCGAGCGCCCAGAACCCTCGAGGTCGAACGTCCAAACAACTGCATAAACGTACAATTTCGGAGGTCCGCGCGGATTTCTTGGATCGGCGCTGGGCCCCCCTGGCGGCGCCTCCAGCGCCAGCAGCGCCGATCCAAGAAATCCGCACGGAGATCGTGAAGCTTATGTCTATGACCACGCTTTCCTCCTCGGCCATCTCCAACCTCATCCTCGCCCTTCCCTCGCTCGTGGCAAAGGGATCGCAAAGTCGCGTCTCTTCTGTTGATCCCCTCGAGCGTCTGCTGCGCGCGCCGGATGCCCAGCTCCACGTCCCGCAGCACCTGCAGCCAGGTGGAGAGGGAGAACAAGATGGGGGCGGCGGGGCGGAATGCTTCGAGGAACAGTCAATGGCATAGACATACACTTTCGAAGGTCCGCGCGGATCTCTCTGATGAGCCCCCCAGCGGCGCCTCCGGCGCCACCCCTGGCGTGCGCCTGGCGCGCGCCGTGCGCCAGGGAGGGAGTCCAGTGCGGATCCAAGAAGTAAGCGCGGGCCTCCGAAAGTTTGTGTGTAGGTCATTGGTTGTTCCTCTAGGAGGAGGAGGAGGAGGAGGAGGAGGAGGAGGAGGAGGAAGAGGAGGAGGAGAGGGCGGAGGAGGAGGAGGCGGAGGAGGAGGAGGAGGAGGAGGAGGAGAGGAGGAGGAGAGGAGGAGGAGAGGAGGAGGAGGAGGAGGAGGCGGAGGAGGCGGAGGAGGAGGAGGAAGAGGAGGAGGGGGAGGAGGAGGAGAAAGAGGAGGAGGAGCTCAGCGGGAGAAGCATCGAACCAGAGTCGGCGATGCATCGGCGATGGAGCGGCCAGAGAGGCCTCCGAGGAAGCGAGGCCGCGCGGTCCTGAGCGGGGGTGGGCTCTGGGGCCCCCAGCGGGCGAGGAGTGCGTGCTCGGGCGCCGACGCATCCCCCCAGGGCGGCCAGGGCGGCCACGAGGGCGCGAAGCGGTTCGCGGCTCGCGGCCCTCCTCGCCCCCCCCCTCTCCCCCCGGGGTGGGGGGAGGAGGTCGGCACGAGGGCGCGAAGTGGTTCGCGGCTCGCGGTCCTCCTCGCCCCCCCCCCCTCTTCTCCCCCCCTGGGGGGGGAGGTCGGCACGAGCTGGCCATCGCTCGGACGTCCATTACCTGTGCTTCTGTTGGTTTCGTGCGTAGCTTTTTCGCCAAAGGATCAAGGATGCTCCTCGATGGTCCTCGCCGAGGAAAAAACGCACACGTCCGAGCGATGCCAAGCGAGGGCGCGAAGTGGTTCGCGGCTCGCGAGTCGCGACTCCTCGTCCTCGTCCTCCTCGCCCCCCCCCTCCTCCTCCAGCAGAGGGGGGGGGGTCGGCACGAGGGCGCGAAGTCGATCGCGGTTCGCGATTCGCGACTCCTCGTCCTCGTCCTCCTCGCCCCCCCCCTTCTCCCCCAGCAAGGGGGGGGGGGGGGGTCGGCACGGGGGCGCGAAGTCGATCGCGCGCCCTCGTGCTTCGAGGGAGAGCGGAGCCCCCGGAGCAGAAGAGCGCGCTCCACGACTCGCAACGTGACTGCTCGCAAATGGCCCGGATCCGCCGCGGGGGGTCTGCGAGAAATTACACTGGAGCAGGCACGCGTTTTTCGGACGCTTGCGAGTGGGCACTTTGCGAGTGGTGGAGCGCGCTCGGTCCCTGAGGGGGGGGGGGGGAGAAGGTAGAGGAAAGCGCTGGTCAGGCCGCTGGACGAGGAGGCGCGTGGCATGACTTGGCTTTGCCTGGAAGCGAAAGCGGGATAGGTAACTCACGCTCTGAAGGCACAGCAATCGAGAGAAAATTATTAGCAGCGCTAGTCAAGAGTATCTAGACGCCTGGGATCGGTCTGCTATCAGAGCTGGGACCAAAAAACTCATTGTACTCTGGGTTTTGTTTGAGAGACAATGCTAGTTTTCTCTACTTAGTTCGAGCTGTAGGCAAGCAAGGCGCTCAAACAAGGGACGCCTTGGGCTCGGAGTGGGGGCTTCGTTTGCCGGGCCGCTCTTCGAGCCAAGTCGGGGAGCCCATTCGCGGCCGAGGCTCGCCGTGGCAACCACAAAAAAAGAGCCCTTCGTTCCCGACTCGGGGCCCCATGTATGAAAAGGCCACTGTATACATCGGGAGCGGCCAAGAGGGGGGCGTCCAGGAGGGGGGGTGCAGATCATGACCGGCGGCACGTGCGCGGCCCAGCAGGGGTGCCAGGGACGCAATGAAGCAAGAAGAGGCGCCATGCGATCGGGGGATATATCATGGCCCACGCCATAATATCCCCCCCCCTTGTCCTCCACAGGGGGAGGAGGAGGAGAAGGAGGAGAAGGAGGAGAAGGAGGAGGGAGGAGAAGGAGGGAGGAGGAGGAGGAGGAGGAGGAGGAGGAGGAGGAGGAGGAGGAGGAGGAGGCAAAGAATCTCCCCCCTCTTTGCCGCCCCCGAGGAAAGGACGGGACGACGCCTCAAACATGGCTTGCCGGAATTCCACACGGATTTCCTGCGTCGATGCCGGGCCCTCCCTGGCGCGCGCGGCGCGACGTGGAGCAGCGCAGGAGCCGCCGCCAGGGGGGGTGCAACGTGGACCTCCAGGGAGGTGTTGTGTGCAGCTCTGCGTCTTCGAAGACGGGAGGGGGAGCGCGGGGAGGTCGAGGGGGAGGGGGAGGAAGGCGAAGGGGAGCGAGCGATCGAGCGACCTCGGCAGCAGCTCGGCGCCAACGCGAGAGGGCACGGGTCTGGAAGGGTGGGTGCCGGTCGACGTCCTACATTGCTGCTTGTTCTGCTCAACGCAAGGCGGTAGGGGCGCCTGAGGGAGCCCATAGTGGCCTACAGTCGGGGCATTGACCTAAGGAACGATAAATAAGGAACGAGGCCCCTTTTTCAATAAGTTAAACTTCGATTTCTGATCGAAAACATAAGGAAAACCTGAGGCAAGCTGCAAAACAATGAAGGAACACGGAGCCCCTCCCCAACGAGAAGGGTTCCTTGTTTAGCGCCCCGACTGTGTAGAGCCTTGGGCCCCTCGTTAGCCCCTAGGCCATCTCGGACCTCCGAATCTCCACAAAGGAGGGTGCGAAACGCCGTGGCCCGCCCCCCCCATAGCCTGCATGTCAGTTCGGGTGCATGCGTTGTGGACGCAAGGGCATAGTTCAAACCGCTCAGACTACGAACATCAAGTGCTCACAACGCTATACAAGTACATAGCGCTCATGCATGCTCAATCAGCTTTAAGTGTTATGCTACGTCGCACATGCACTGCAGTCGCATTCACATTTGACAGAGCATGCAGATAATCCTCGGCGAAGGTGGCGGGGTGCTTAATGAAGGGATGGGCGAGCAGTGTGGGATATATCCTGAAACATTCCCACCACGCTGGGGACCCAGCCCATGATTCAAATATATGAGACACACCCACCAAGTTTGTTGGCTCAGCACTTGATTGAAATCCGCCGACCCTGTCGGCGTGTGTGAGAAGCTCCTCGAGGCCAGTCCAATCCAAACTAAAATACGCCAGCCTCCTTTGAATCGACGTCGTCGCAAAAGGGATCGAACAAATAAGGGGGATCGAACACAATGTCGTAATTACGTAGAAGAGAAGCCCCTTCCCGTTGTCCCTTGCCCGCGGAGGAGGCGGGCGTCCCAGGGGGTGGGACCCAGAGGCGGGTCCCCGCCCTAGAAGACAAGACGTCGTAACCAAATCAAGCGCCCAAAGTATTGTAAAGTACAATGGTTTGTTGCGTGCATGTGCGTAACCTAATCGTCCTCTTGTTGGACCAATTTTGTATGAGAGGGGTTCATTGTTTTGATTTGGTTGCGCGAAAATTGATTACGAAGTGTGATTTGGTTATGATCTGAATATGCAGAGCTCTAAGCTTGTTACGATTTGGTTACGCTATATCAAATCTGGTTACGATTTGGTTACGTTCTAATATGGTTACGATTTGGATAAATGGGGTCCGTCGTGGAAACGGATGATGTGCCCAAGTGCTGTCTGGCAGGGTTTCTGTAGTCTGTAGTCTTGTAAAGGGCCCCCCTCCGCGGGACGCGGACCGGCGACTGCACCGCCCCCCCTGCAAAGACCCTGCAAAGACCATGCAAAGGCCACCATGCAAAGACCATGCAAAGACCATACCCTGCAAAGCCCTGCAATACCCCAGGAGGCCCAAAGATGCCTCCAGGAAGCCCCAAGAGACCCCCAAGAGGCCCCCCCAAGAGGCCAAAATGAAGCCCCTGAAGAGGCCCCCAGACGGCTGCCAAAAGGCCTGCAAACTGCATCCAACAGCCCCCGAGAGGCCTCCCACGATATCCTAGCGAACATCCAAGAGGCCTATAGCCCACAACCCAGATGCGGTGGCGGGACTTGCCGTAGGCAGCTGAATAGTTAGTGTTGCGAAGAGCCAGGCCTGATGCAGCTGCATGTGGCGTGGAGCACGGCATGTTCTTTTTACGATGCGCGCTGCAGGGTAGTCAGGATCGGGAGCTGCCGAAGAGGTGGGCAGGAGGGCGCCGAACTCCCTGAGGGGCATGATACTAGTGAGGAAAGTGCTGAAATCGACGGGGAAGATATGTAGTCACGCCCAACAGGGCAAGAAGTGGAGGTCCCAGAGGAGACGATCCACGTAAGGGGTGTGCCGAAATGGGGGCGGCAGCGCCGTGCGAGCACCTCCATTCAGCCCATTGGTGGAATTCCATGACGGGCACGCTCCGCGTGAGGGGTGTGCCGAAATGGGCAGGAACGCCACGCCAGCACAACCAATGGGCCAGGTGAGGGTTCCCATTTGGCACGCCTCGCGCGAGGGTTGTGCCGCAATTGGCGGGGAAAGCGTACACGCGGAATGAATCCCAATGGAACGCCCTACTGGGCAGATTTGGTAGCGGCGGTGGCATGCGGACGCACTGGTTGGGGCCATAGGTAGAGACCCACGAGGGGCGCGATCCTTAATGAGAAGTGTGCCGACACGGGGACGGCGGCGCCATCCGGACACACCCGCTGGGGCCATAGTCGGAGCTCCCCATGAGGCACGATCCTCATGAAGAGTATGCCAAAATGAGGACAGCGGCACCATGCGGACGCACCTGTTGGAGCTCCCTATGAGGCACGATCCTCGAGAGGGGAATGCCGACACGGCGACGGCTGCATGCGGACGCACCCGTTGGGGGCATAGGTCGACCTCCGAACGGTGCGTGATCACTGTGAGGTGTATGTTGAAATGAAGATGACGGCGCCATGCGGAAGCACCCAGTAGGGCCACAAGTGGAGCTCCTTATGGGGCACGGAGGAGGAGGACGAGGAAGACGGAAGACTGCAGGAGGACGAGGATGATGA